TAACCAACTGAGCCACCCAGGCGCCCAAGGATTAAATATTTTTAAAAAATAGCTCCAAAGTAGAAAAGCTCATCCCCTGACCGAAGCCAACTCACTGCATCCTGAATGAAGTTCCCTGAGAAGAAGGGGCTCTACAAACGTCACCTCATCCACACGGGAACCGTCAGATGCCCCTGGGGTGCAGGCCTGTGCACCTCAAATGCCAGTGTCAGGGATCACAGACACTGGGGCGCTGCTCCAAGAAGGCTGGAGATGGCGCACCTGAACAAGACACATAACCTACGATTCTCTTTTGCTGAAAACGACATTACTGGGACCATTAGTAGAATCAAACTACAGATTAGAATGGTAATATTCATCAATGTTGTTTCCCTAACTTCAATTACTTAAGAGAAGAGTATGGATTTTAAAAAATATGTACTTAAGCCTTTAGAGGAAAAGGGACATCATGTCCGCAACCTACTCTCAAAGAGTCTTGTGCTACCGCCATGCCCTAGAGGGAGAGTGAACAATGCAGACGTGGTGAAAGAGGGTGACCATCACTGAAAGGTAAACAAGAATTCTATGAACTTTTCAGTAAGTCTAAAATTATGTCAAAAGTTAGAAACAAAAACAAACCTTAGTTGCAACCAATGTAACTGCAGAATGGCCAGAGAGAAAAGACAGAAAATGCTAAGTGCTGACAAGAAAGCAGAGTCATGAGAACTGGCTGGTGGGAGTACAGATCAGGACATCTACCTCGCAGAGCAGGAGGCAGCAAACCATGACACACGGGCCAACTCTGGCCGTCACTCATGTTCTTACACCCCAAGAGCGAAGAATGGTTTTGAAAGAGTTGAGTCCTTGCAACAGAGACCGTCTAGACCACAAGGCCTAAAACACTGACTATCTGGCACTTCACAGTTTGCCGACCCCAGTACTAGAGCTAAATGTTAAGTACATCCTATGACTCCATAATTCCACTCCCGGGTATGTAACCCATAGAAGAAATGTGTATGTATGCTTCCCACTTCCAGAACATACACAGTAGCACTACTGATCAGAGCCCCAAACTGGAAATCACCTAAATGCCCATCAATGGTACAGTGGGAAAATTAAGTGCCAGACAGTAATTAAAATGATCTATAACTGCACACAACAGGGATGACTTTTCACAAATATAATCTTGAGCAAGAGAGGCCAGACACAAAAAGAATGTAGGGCACAATTCATTTATATATAGTACAGTGTCTGAAAATTTAGACAACATAAAAAAGATAAATATTTTTATAGACCACAATTGGTTTACCTTTTGGACAGCTGGTAGTACTCTCTCCTGTAACTCAGTTTACTTCTGCACAGCCTGCTCATCCCAAGAGAATGCACTGTGTACTTACAGAAGAGGATACCCTCTGAAAGCTCTAGGAGCTCACAAGCTAGTCTGGGGATCTAACATGTAGAAATCTAGAAGCCAAAGAAAACTCCAGCATAAGTACACAGGATTTAGGTTAAAAAATGTTCTTAGCTGGGGTGCCTGGGTGGCTCAGTCGTTAAGTGTCTGCCTTCAGCTCAGGTCATGATCCCAGGGTCCTGGGATCGAGCCCTGCATCAGGCTCCCTGCTCGGCGGGGAGCCTGCTTCTCCCTCTCCCACTCCCCCTGCTTGTGTTCCCTCTCTCGCTGTGTCTCTCTGTCAAATAAATAAATAAAATCTTTAAAAAAAAAAAGTTCTTACCAACACTGTTTGCTACCATTAAGAAAAAGGCCTATACCCTTTAAAACAACTCAAAGTGTCTATCAAAAGAATGAATACGTTGCAATCTGTCATATGAAACACTATACAGCAGATAAAAATTAACTTAAAGCTACATGTTTCAAGATGAAGAATCTTTAAAACTTAATGATTCCTCTGAAAGGCAAGGTACAGAGTAAGTACAATGGGCGAGATTAAAGACAAGCATAAGAATGCTATATACTGTTTGTGAATACGTAGGCAGATAATAAAAGTATAAAAATGTGTATTGAAAGAAACATCGAATTCAGCACAGCCGTGACCTATCAGGCTGTAAGGAAGGAATGGAGCGAAAGGTGCTGTAAATACATAAATTGTGGACTATTCACTTGCACAGAAACTAGAACAAAAGATCCCTACCTCCACAAAACACAGATGACTGTCACAAACATCACGCAGAGAACAGCCAGATACAAATGAATGCCATTTTAAACAGTGACCTCTCTTCATGACACACATGCCAAAGGAAGGACATCGACAAACACAAAAAGTTCCAATTTCTACAAAATACGGAGGACCATAACCAGCAAAATTCATTGTAGGAAACTCTATAAGATAAAACCTGTTTCCTAAACAATGATTTGCAAGAAAAAAAAGGGAAATAGACAGCAAAATGGAGACCACAGATGAAAACAGACCTGCAAGACAACTGCTGCCAACTCTTTTAATCAGGATTACATCCTGATTAAAACAACAAAGAACAGAGGGAAAAAGGCCTGGTATTTGACAAATAGAAATGTGAACACTGATGATATCCAGGAATTAGACCATTAGGATATTTCTATTACTGATGACCAAGGACTTTTTTAGGTGTGATAATGGTATTATGGTAATGTTAAAAAAATAAAAAAGATTTCTTGTGTTTTAAAAATGTATAATGTATATATAGAACACAATTTTCAAACAAATTAGGTCCTTTAAAACCAATGAGGACTAGATGAAGTCTCTGAAGTGAAAACATCTCCTGAATACACACACATGAGAACAATGTTCCACATTTCAGATTCACTGCCTCTACCATCTTTCTAGATAAGGTAAAGCAGTGAGTGCACTTTGGTGAACATCAGACCCGTCTTAACTCTCCTACCAGAGCAACGACAGCAGTTATTCCATTCATCAGAAAAAAGATCATAATACTGTCAACGAAGGACAAATCAGATTTGCTTCCAAATACTTTTAACAAATGAATAATATCACAAGGTCCCAGATGAGACATCTCATCCTCTTCCAAAAGCAGTGACAAGAGGGAAACAGGGCAGAGCTGGACTTATTAACCCGAGAGAGGCACAAAGATGTGGTCAAAACAAGCAGAAGCTATCACGTGAGGACACACCATTCACAAATCTCATGGGGGGGGAAATCCCTTACTTTTATTCTCTATAGAGCCTCAGTTCAGTGACTGGCAAATATTGCCAGCACTCCGTAAGAAATGGTCAATCTGACGGACTCCCCAGGCTAACAGTCCACACCAGGACTGGTTACTGTGATCACAACCCTTCAACTTCCATGCGCACAAGTTAATGCTCGATGACATTGCACGCACCTTGTAGTTCTGGTGAGATTCGAAGTTGGAAAGTGGAGTGTTGCATGCGGTGGAGAAAGGCATGACTTTCACGCCTCTATACACAAGGCCTTTATCATAGAGCTGCTTGAAGACCCACCTAGCAAGTAAAGACACAGTTTTACAACAATGACGCAACCAAAATTCTGTCTCCCCAAACTCAGACATTTATGCCAGTTTGTCTACAGTAGAGTTTCTATCAGCCAATCAAATGGAAACATTGTTTCTCTCAACGGGGACTAGCTGGTAAATTACGACAGATTCGTAGGAGACATTATGTAGACATTAAAAGTGGTAATAATCTGTCCATGGAAAGATGTTCATGACTTGATGTTGAGTGAGAAAAGCAATCCACACCATACTGTACATTGAGGTACTAATTGGGTAAAACTACATATCCGTATACTTAGATTTTTTAGAAATGCTGAAAGAGCAAATTTTTACCAATATGTTAACTATAGTTGGGATTTCAGAGTTTTTGCTTTTCTTAATAGTTTTCTCGTTGTATTGTTTAAATTTTACTATAATGGGCAGTTTTACAAAGGCAATTTAAAAAGAATAAATAGGGGCGCCTGGGTGGCTCAGTTGTTAAGCGTCTGCCTTCGGCTCAGGTCATGGTCCCCGGGTCCTGGGATTGAGTCCCACATCAGGCTCCCTGCTCAGCAGGAAGCCTGCTTCTCCCTCTCCCCCTCCCTCCGCTTGTGTTCCTTCTCTCGCTATGTCTCTCTCTGTCAAATAAATAAAATCTTTTAAAATAAATAAATAAAAAGAATAAATAATTGGGATTAGGATATCTCTCCTATAGTTAGTCCAAAACTTTTATTAAACACTTAACCATGTTGCTTTAAGCTAAATATACCAAGATGCTGAAATGTCAATGGTAACCTTATCCTGGGGTCTCCTGTGATGAATACTCACCTGTCCCAGCTGGATGTCAGGATGCATTGGTGGGAACCCTTAATACTGTCTTTTTTTTTTTTAAAGATTTTATTTATTTATTTGAGAGAGACAATGAGAGAGAGAGAGCATGAGAGGGGGGAGGGTCAGAGGGAGAAGCAGACTCCCTGCTGAGCAGGGAGCCCGATGCGGGACTCGATCCCGGGACTCCAGGATCATGACCTGAGCTGAAGGCAGTCGCTTAACCAACTGAGCCACCCAGGTGCCCAACCCTTAATACTGTCTTAATGGATAATTTTTATACTCCAATTCCTATGTGCTTGGTACAATAAATAAACTCTTTCCCATTTGCTAAAATATTTTTATGGAAAACTGTGCATATTTTTTCATAGTATTACTTGGCTTTAAACAAAGATTAAAACGTGTTTTTATATAAAATTTCCCAAGTTTATTAATTTTTTTTTTGAAGTGTTCCATGATTCATTGTTTGTGCATTTATTAATTTTTTTATTGAGGCATAATTGACATGCAGCACTATACTAGATTCAGGTGTGTAACATGAAGATTTGCTATTTGTACACACTGCACAATCATCACCACAGTAAGTCTACTTACCATCCACCACCAAGGTTACAAAAATTTTTTTTTTCTTATAATGAGAACTTTTAAGATTTATCATCTGGGCAACTTTAAATATGTGCTACAATATTATTGACTATAGTCACAATGCTATACACTACATCTCCGTGATTTACTTATAACTGGAAGTTTGTACCTCTTGACCCCCTTTACCCATTGCCCACCTCCAATCCCTTTTCCCGTTGGCAAATACCATTCCACTCTCTGTGTCTCTAAGTTTTGTGATTTTAGATTCCATGTGTAAGTGAAATCATATGTCTTTCTGACTTATGTCACTTAGCATAATGCCCTCAAGGTCCACCCATGTTGTCAAATGGCAAGAATTACTTTTTCTTTTTTTTTTAAAGATTTAATTTATTTATTTGACAGAGAGAGACACAGAGAGAGACGGAACACAAGCAGGGGGAGTGGGAGAGGGAGAAGCAGGCTTCCCACCGAGCAGGGAGCTTGATGTGGGGCTTGATCCCAGAAGCCTGGGACCATGACCTGAGGCGAAGGCAGACGCCTAACGACTGAGCCACCCAGGCGCCCCAAGAATTACTCTTTTTTATGGCTGAGTAATATTCTATTTTACACACACACACACACACACACACTTTTTCTTTTTAGAGGGGGAGAGGGAAGGAGGGAAGGAGGGAAGGAGGGAAGGAGGGAGGGAGGGGGAGAAGAGGGGGACGAGGAGAGAGAGAGAGTGAATCTTAAACAGGCTGCATGCCCGGTGTGGAGCCTGATGTGAGGCTCAATCTCACACCCCTGAGATGGTGACCTGATCTGAAATCAAAAGCTGGACGCTTAACTGACTGAGCCACCAGGGCCCCCCCTCCCCACAACCTTTTTTTTTTTTTAAGATTTTATTTTATTTTGGAGAAAGAGAGCACCCATGTAAGCAGGAGAGGGGCAGAGGGAGATTCCACCCAGAGCATAGAGCCTGATGCAGGGCTCGATCTCATTGACCCTGAGATTGTGACCTGAGTCGAAATCAGAATTGGATGCTCCATTGACTGAGTCACCAAGACACACCCCCTACCCCCCACATCTTTTTTATCTGTTTATCAATCAGTGCACTCTTAGGTTGATACTATATCTTGGCTACTGTAAATAATACTGTGATGAACCTAAGGGCATATACATCTTTTTTGAATTAGTGTTTTCATTTTTTTTTTTATAAATACCCAGAAGTAGAATTACTGCATCATATGGTATTTCTATTTTTAATTTTTTGAGATCCCTTCATACTGTGGCACCCCACTTGTCTCCATTTCATTGAGGTTTTTTTTTGTTGTTGTTTTGTTTAGAACGTACTCCTCTGTCTCATTTTGCTGATTTTCTGGGTTTATTTCTTTGAACCAGGCAAAACCGCTCTCTCTCTCAGTCTAGAAGAGTTCATGTAGATGAACTTTATTGTTCAACCTTGCCCTAGCGTTCTTGGTTGTCTCTCAAACCTTTGTGATTGTCTAAGCAGCCCGACTTATTCTCAATAGTTCACAGTTGGTGAGAGTGTTCCAAGACCTCTGAGTGTACCAGGGGAAGGTCTCTCTGTCAGAACCTAGTTTCAGGCTGAATGTGAATCCAGACGCTCAGGCAGCAGCTTTTATAAAGTATGCAAAGAGGGGCGCCTGGGTGGCTGCATTGGTTAAGTGTCTGCCTTCGACTCAGGTCATGATCCCAGGGTCCTGGGATCAAGCCCCGTGTTGGGCTCCCTGCTCAGTGGGGAGTCTGCTACTCCCACTCACTTTCCCTCTGTGCTCTCTTTCTCTCTAACAAAAAAATAAAATCCAAAAAACTGGGGCGCCTAAGTGGCTCAGATGGTTAAGCGTCTGCCTTCAGCTCAGGTCATGATCCCAGGGTCCTGGGATCGAGCCCCGCATCGGGCTCCCTGCTCAGTGGGGAGCCTGCTTCTCCCTCTGCCTCTGCCTCTCTCTCTCTCTGATTCTCATGAATAAATAAATAAAACATTAAAAAAAAAATCCAAAAAACTAAAATAAAGTACACAAATATATACAGCCCTGTGGGACCACACTGTAAAGCTTGCGGACTTCCAGATCAAGGCAATATGGAGGTGTCCCCTGGCTAACAGTTGCAAAAACTGGGTCTCCAGACAAGTATATAAACTTCTTTCTGGGAGGTATCAGAGAGCTGGAGTGAGGCTGAGAGACAGCACAAATGTGGTGTCCCCTGGGGCACATTCCCGAGGGCACCTTTTTAGCCTATAGACAGAGTGGTAAACCTGAAGCCGGCCCCTCAGGCTGAAGCTCTATCACAAGTAAATCAATCAATCAATCTCTGCCTCCCCTACCCATCTCAATGTGGGCCTTTTGGTATGAAGGAGTTGTTCAGCTAGTTTTCAGGTCTCTTTCCCAGGAAATTGTAGGTCTGTGAGAGTTAGGTGACTTTAGGATCTTCCTATGCCGCCATCTTATCACAAATTTCTCAAGGGTTTTTCTTTTTTTTTTTTTAGAGATTTTATGTATCTATTGGGGGGAACAAGCAGGGGGAAGGGCAGAGGGACAAGCAGACTCCCCGCTGAGCAAAGAGCCTGATGTGGGGCTCAATCCCAGGACCCTGAGATCATGGCCTGAGCTGAAGTCAGAGGCTTAACCGACTGAGCTACCCAGGCACCCCTCAAATTTCCCAAGTTTAAACTCAGTCTTAAATTATATACTTTGATTCAAGGATATTCACAGAAGACTAGAGAAGGAATATTAGATTAGATTTTTTTTTTTTTAAAGATTTTATTTATTTGACAGAGAGAGACACAGCGAGAGAAGGAACACAAGCAGGGGGAGTGGGAGAGGGAGAAGCAGGCTTCCCACAGAGCAGGGAGCCCGATGCGGGGCTCGATCCCAGGACCCTGGGACCATGACCTGAGCTGAAGGCAGACGCTTAACCGACTGAGCCACCCAGGCGCCCCTAGATTTGATATTGTTAAGACCCAGTTTGAAACCTAAGAATCATAAAATTAACTGTGATCTCAGGCAAGTCAGTCACCTGCCTTCACCCCAAACCCAATCCACAGGACTCTGTGAATCATGTGGGAAAATTGATATGGAAGTACTTTATATAGTCAAAAGCACCAACTCAGTCTAAATTATCTACCATTATTAATGTTATCATTATTAAAGGTATCACCTACTATCTTTTCATATTCCCTCTAAACCTATGTGCCTTATTTATGTGCCAACATGTTCCTCAGGAATAACTAACATTCTAACACTGAGAAGCTTTAAAAACCATTTTCCTCTGATTCAAGTATGGTTTTATGTAAATTAAGAAGTATTATATAGAGCTATATTGTCCAATATTGTAGGCACTAGCCACAGGTGCTCTTTTTATTAAAAAAAAAAAATTATTTTTAAGTAATCTCTACAACCAACATGGGGCTCGAACTTCTAATCCTGAGCTCAAGAGTCACATGCTCCACCAACTGAGCTAGTCAGGCCCCAACTTAAATTTAAATGAGAAATGAGAAAACAAAACAAAACAAAAAAAACCCCCACAAAACCCTTTAACTGACATCAGGCCATTTATATTCTTTGTTTTATCTACTTAGCATGAACAATTATGTGTCCTAATGCAAAGATACTAATGTATTTGATTACAGGTTACTGCTCAACGTGTTGGAGTCATTATATACCACAGAATACATGCGTATCCTATTACCTCAGCAGAATCCAAAATTTACTGAAGTCAGAACCAAATCAGAAACAGTTGTGCACAGAGGATTTTTAGGACAGTGAAAATACTCTATATGATGTTAGCATGATGGCTACATGTCACTTGTCCAAACCCACAGAACATACAACACCAAGAGTGACCTTTAATGTAAACTATGGACTTTGGGTGATGATGATGTGTCAGTGTATGTCATCAATGGTAACATATGTACCACTCTGGTGGGGATGTTGGTAGTGGAGTGCATGTGTGGGGGCAGGGAATAGGGGAAATCTCTGTACTTTCCTCTCAATTTTGCTAGGAACCCAGAAGTGCTCTAGAAAATAAATACCTTTAAAAACAAAAAAACAAATCCATCCCAAAGACTTTAGATAAATTGTGAATCTGAAAAATCTCTCCACTAAGCAATAAACAGAATATTCATTATATTTAAATTTCAAGTAAACCTACCAGACAGATTCCATGAATTGTGGATACAGAGTTTTGTAGTCATTGTCAAAGTCAATCCATCGGCCAAGTCTGGTAACAGTGGACTTTAAGAATATGAATATTAGAGTTATTAGACACTGATATTTGTTATCACACATCAATGTGTGTCACTTCTATCATCACCACATACAATGATTTTGGGAAAAGAGAACAAGCAACGGCTCAGGTAAACCTATACCGTAAACAACGCACTATGTAGGGTTAAGAACAGTTCTCTTGGCATTCATTCTCTTGGCAGATGATGTCACTTACAAATATTAATATTCCTTTATAAAAGTCTACCCAAATTACCATTTGGCAAATAACACAGGTATAATTGTTGCTGGCAAGAATCATCAATGGATGCTAAAATTCATAAACAAAAGTGTAAGAAATAGGATATTTGCAAAGACTCCCCAGAGCACACTTAATTACAAAGGAAAAACTGCAAATCAACAACAGAGAAACCTGACATATATTACCTTAGTGAACAAAATTAATGTCACGAATGAGACATATTAGTGTCACAGGCCTCCTGATAATGACAGACTGAGAAGCGCATGATGCCACTCCTGAGCATTCTTGTCAAAAATGCATATATAACCCAAACTTAATCATGACAAAACATCAGACTTTGGGGGACTTTCTACAAAATAATCGGCCTGTACTCTTTAAAAGTGACAAGGTCGGGTGCCTGGCTGGCTCAGTTGGAAAAGCATGTGACTCCTGATGTTGGGGTTGTGAGCTTCAGTCCCGCCTTAGGTGTAGAAATTAAATAATAAACTTAAAAAAAAAAGTGATAAGATCATGAAAGACAAAGAAAGATTGAGGGAATCCTCCAGACTGAAGTAGAATAAGGAGGTCTAACTATATGCAATGTGTGTTCCTAGACTGGGTCCTGGATCAGAATTAGTGGAAAACTGGTTAAATTTGAAGAAGATCTATTATACTGTATCAGTGTTAATTTCTTGCTTTTGATAATTATGATTATTGAAGGTGTTAGAATTTGGGAAGTGAGAGAAGAGTATAGGAGACTTCTTCATAACTGTTTTTGAAAATTTTTTTTTTTTAAAGATTTTTTTTATTTATTTATTTGGGACAGAGAGAATGAGAGACAGAGAGCATGAGAGGGGAGGAGGGTCAGAGGGAGAAGCAGACTCCCTGCCGAGCAGGGGGAGCCCGATGCGGGACTCGATCCCGGGACTCCAGGATCATGACCTGAGCCGAAGGCAGTCGCTCAACCAACTGAGCCACCCAGGCGTCCTGTTTTTGAAATTTTTACTAAGTCTGAATTATTTCAAAATGAAAAGCTAAAAGATAAAAATAATTTTAAAGAAAAAAAAAAGCCAAATGCATATCATATTCATTAGATTTTTCCTTCTGGCAACCAGGCAAGAAAGTTTGACAGAATCAAGTTAGGTTTAAAAAAAATTTTTTTTTAATTTATTTATATATATATTTTTTAAGATTTTATTTATTTGACAGAAAGAGTGAGAGACAGCGAGAGAGAGAGAGAGAGCACAAGCAGGGGGAGTGGGAGAGGGAGAAGCAGGCTCCCCACTGAGCAGGGAGCCCAATGCGGGGCCTGATCCCAGGACCCTGGGATCATGACCTGAGCCGAAGGCAGACACTTAACGACTGAGCCATCCAGGCGCCCCAAGAATTTATTTTTAATAAAAAAATTTAAAAATTAAAAAGTTAGGAGAGAATCGAGGACCTTTCATTTTCAGGTTGAGGAAATCAGATTTTATTCACCAATGAAGAGAAGCTACTCAAAATTGTGAGCAGGGAAGACCACGATGAGCAGTCTTGCGGGAGAGATAACCTGGCAGGAAAGTGCAAAGAATGGGAGCCCGAGCCCAATCAGAAGATGGTTACAGAAACTCAGGGAGGGGGGTGGGGGGCCAGGGACAGGTTGTAGGAATGCAATGACTTGACAAGAGACACCAAAGAAGAAAGACTTGATAGGATTTGGCATTTGATTTGATCATGAGGATAGTGTGTGAAGCCTGGAAGACAGATACTATCAGCAGAATAGGGAACTTGGATTAACAGCAAGTTTGAGAAGTCGAAGTGGTAAGAGAGTGAGATGGAAAAAAAGTCAGACATGTTTTTAAGAAACACAGACACACTAGCTGGACAGCCAGGGAGGAGAAGGGGCTCTCTGCTCCTCTGCCCATCAGAACAAGAGAGACAGGAGCTCTGCCAGCCCTTCACAGGACTTACGAACAGATGTAGGTAGGATGCGAGTCAAATTAATACAACACTGAGGCCAAATCTGAATTGTTTTTAACACCAGAATTTTTTTTTTTTAAGATTTTTTATTTATTTATTTTAGAGAGAGAGAATGAGAGACAGAGCACATGAGAGGGGGGAGGGTCAGAGGGAGAAGCAGACTCCCTGCTGAGCAGGGAGCCCGACGCGGGACTTGATCCAGGGACTCCAGGATTATGACCTGAGCTGAAGGCAGTCGCTTAACCACTGAGCCACCCAGGCGCCCTAACATCAGAATTTTTTTACTGCAACATTCGAGTTTATCTTTTTGCTAGGACAGCCTGATTCTTGTCATACACAGTGAGTAGGTAGGAGATTAAGTACTGAAGACCAGTCAAGCACAAAGAAACCAAAAAGAGAGGGTGCAGTTTAAGCTAACAGCTTAATAGGGTTGTAGGTGAAAGCTAAATACTTCTTTAAAGAGGATGGTCAACCCTCTTATGTCACAACCTCACACAGATAGCCATACTTTTGTACGCATCTCATAAAAAGCACAAAAGGAGTACAAACCTTTTCAACTCCCACTTAAAAATTAAAGTTTTCGTTCATTCTACCGAAAATAACCCAACATACCTTCCACTCAGTAGAATATCTCATCACAATTGCTCGGCACTGATTGTTATACTCTACAATCCCCATTTTGGCTACATCCTCTGGTCCTCTGATTCCCAGTGTCTTATCAATTTCATATTCCTGAAAATTTGCGATAAGACTGTTAACATCCTTGCCCTCTGAAATAAATGCAATTCAGCAACTCTAGAAAATAACACAGATTTTAAAAAATTGGATCTCAAAAATCTATAGAGAAAATGAACTATACATATTATAGAAACAAAATACATTATAGGAAAAATTCATGTTAACATATTATATGATGAAATCCAATGCTTAATAAAAAATCAGAATCTTATAAAGCTGGTGACTCAAACATACCACAGGTAAGCCATGACAATCCCATCCAAATCTTCTGTCAACATGAAACCCACTCTGGTGAGCATATCTGGTAACTATATCTTTAATCGTCCCTGCAAGTATATGTCCATAGTGAGGCAGTCCAGTTGCAAAAGGAGGCCCATCATAGAACGTAAATCTAACAGAGGTAATAAAAAGGTGTTAAGTGACTTTAAAACAGCAATAATTTAGGATAACACTTTTCTACAGATAGCTCCTATCATAGTAGAGTCTCCAGGGAGAAGAAAAGCAGCAAGACCAGAAAATTCACAGACATAAATGGTTAGATATTTACTGGAGGTCCTGCCTTCAAAAAAGCTAGTTATGGCGGAGTTGGAATGACCTCCATCAGACTATCCACACTTAGCTTATTAGTTCCATGACATAAGGCAAGTTATTCATCCCGATCCTGAGTTACCTCATCAGTAAAACAGGAACAAACACCTCATAGTTTTTGAACATAGTTTTTGAAACACAGTTTTGAACAAATGATAAAAACAGTACAGAAAGGACTGGTTTTTAAGTGAATGGAGACTAGAGGCAGGAAGTACTCCAACAGGAAGCGAAGACCAGTCTAGTGTTTAAATGAGGGTGGTAAGAATGAGAAAAATAGAACACAAGAGGGTGATACATAAATTCTATCCAGACTTCTTAAAGAAACGGGATCTACCTTAATATTTAAAAACTCATCCATTCAACATGTACAGACTGCTGAAAGTACCCACTATGCAGAGAGCTAGGAGACTCTGGGAACACAATGAAGCTTCTGCCTCCATGGAACTCAGTCTAAGAAGTGACTATTCTTAAGGACTCTACCATTACCAAAGAAATTCACATACTTTGGCTTATGTTTTGATTGCTTTAAGCATTCCTGAAAACAGTTAAATTCAGACCAGAACTGCAAGATTTTCTCTTCTTCAGCAGGAAAATTGATGTTTTCTGGAACTTGCTGAACCATTTTGCTGCTGCAAGAGAAAATCAAATTTATTATTCTTAACAGAGAAGTCTAGGATTAACAGAGTGGCATACAATAAAATGAGTGTACATATTACTATCCATGACACTACACAATACTTTAAAAAACATTACAGTTTTGAATTATAGTTCATATACCATAAAGTTCACCTTTAAAGTGTAAATTCAGTGGTTTTTAGTATCTTCTCAAGTTTGTGCAACCATGAGCACACTCTAATTCCAGAAATCTTCATCACCGCTTTGCCCGGCCTGCTCCAAAAATCTTGTCAACATTAGCAGTCCTTCTCCACTCCCTTCTTCCCCAGCCCCCTCGCAACCATTAATCTGCTTTCTGCTCTATGAGTTTTCTTATTCACGGTATTTCATATAAATGGAATCATGTGTCTGGCTTCTTAGAATTACGTTTTCAAAGTTCATCCATGTTGTAACATGTCTTCATACTTCATTACTTTTTATGGCTGAGTATTCCATTGTATGGATATGCCAAAATTTATCCATTCATTAGTTCATGGACATTAAGAATGTTTCACTTTTTGGCTCTATGAACAATCCTGCTACGAATATTCACATATAAGTTTTTGTGCAGACATATGTACTCAGTTCTCTTGGGTCTGCATCCAAGAGTAGAATTGCTGGATCATATGGTAACTGTGTTTAACTTTTGAGAAACTACCAAAAATGTTTTCTAAAGCTGCTGCCTCATTTTACATTCTCCCAGAAGTGAATAAGTATTTCCATTTTTCTACATCCTCACTCCTGATTGTCCATTTCTGGATTATAGGAAATCCTAGTGGGCATGAAGTGGTATCTCATTATGATTTTGATTTGTACTTCCTTAATGATTAGTGATCTGACCACATTTTCATGTGCTTATTGGCAACATTTATATCTCACTTGGAGAAATTACCATTCATCCTTTGTCCAATGTATAAACTGGGTTGTCTTTTAATTGTTGAGTTGTAAGAATTCTTCATATATTCTAGACACAAGTCCCTTCTCAGTTACAAAATTTGCAAAAATTTTCTCCCATTCTGTGGGTCGTCATTTTTTTAAAAAATATTTTATTTATTTATTTGAGAGAGAGAAAGAGAAAGAGTGCAAGCAGTGGGAGGAGCAGAGAAAGAGGGAGAAGCAGACTCCCTGCTGAGCAAGGAGCCTGATGCAGGGCTGGATCCCAAAACCCTGAGATCATGACCCAAGCTGAAGGCAGGCGCTTCACCGACTAAGCCACCCAGGCACCCCCTGTGGGTTGTCTTTATTTTCTTCACCTTACTTGCTAAAACACCAACACTTTTAATTTTAGTGAAGTCCGTTTATCTACTTTTTGTTTTGTTACTTGAGCTTTGGGTGTCATATTTAAGAAACCACTAACTAAAACAAAGTTGTGAAGGTTTAGCTCTTAATTTTAGGTTGTTGATCTATTTTAAGTTATTTTTGTATATTGTGTGAAATAGGAATACACAGTACTTTTTAAAGATTTTATTTGAGAGAGAGAGGAGGGAGGGAGAAGCAGGCTCCCCGCCGATTGAGGAGCCTGATGTGGGACTCAATCCCAGGACCCCAAGATCACAACTGAGCTAAAGGCAGATGCTTAACTGACTGAGCCACCCAGGTGCCCCAGTACTTTTTGATTATTGTAAAACTTGTTCCCAAATCACATTCTTCACTTATTTCTTAACTACAATACAACATTTAGTAGTTGTAGACAATATACTTGTAAGAGGAGACAAAATCTTGGAAATTTATGTAAGGATACCAAAAATTCATTAATAACCTGAAAAAAGTAAATCTCAAAGTAGGTAAGAATTCTTACCTACACTCACAGGATAGAAAGCACTTCTGTCGAGATAACCTCATTTCTTTGAGGAAAACAGGTAAAACCTAAAAAAATTTAAAGCTAAAAAGATGAGACTCTTACATTCAAATAATTCCTAGCTCATTCCAATTTTCTATTTTATCCCTTTTATTGCTTATTCATGATATTTGTATCGGACAAGCTGTATACATCCTGGATTTAGTCCCTAGTGAAAGAAGTCTTAAAGTGGCTTTTTTAAGAGTTTTGCTAATAACCCCTGCAGAAACACCTGATCAATCTGGGGCTTAACTATCTAGTGAGCATCCTCCAACCCATTCCTCCTTAAAGCCTATATATTCTTACTTAATAATTCTAATAAGGTTGGTGACCAGGTTTCCAAGCCAACATTAGATTAAAAGGGGACAAGAGGGGGCGCCTGGGTGGCTCAGTTGGTTAAGCGACTGCCTTCGGCTCGGGTCATGATCCTGGAGTTCCGGGATCAAGTCCCACATCGGGCTCCCTGCTCGGCGGGGAGTCTGCTTCTCCCTCTGACCCTCCCCCTGCCATGTGCTTTCTCTCTCTCATTCTCTCTGTCTCAAATAAATAAATAAAATCTTTAAAAAAAAAAAAAAAGGGGACAAGAGGGACGCCTGGGTGGCTCAGTCGTTAAGCATCTGCCCTCAGCTCAGGTCATGATCCTGGGGTCCTGGGATTGAGCCCCGCGTTGGGCTCCCTGCTCAGCGGGAAGCCTGCTTCTCCCTCTCCCACTCCCCCTGCTTGTGTTCCCTCTCTTGCTGTCTCTGTCAAATAAATAAAATAAAATCTTTAAAAAAAAGAAAATAAAAAATAAAAAGGGACAAGATTGCTAATAATGAGAAAACAACAGAGAAGACAGAGAATCTTAAGAACTCAAGAACTTGGGGTGCCTAGGTGGCTCAGTCGGTTGAACGTCTGCCTTCAGCTCAGGTCATGATTCCAGGGTGCTGGGATCGAGCCCCATGTTGGGGTCCTTCCTCAGCAGGGAGCCTGCTTCTCCCTCTCCCTCTGCGGCTCCCCCTGTTTGTGCTTTCTCTCTCTCTGTCAAATAAATAAATAAAATCTTTAAAAAACAAAACCTCAAGAACTTTAACAGTACAGGTAACTGACTCTAGGAGCAAAGAGACCTACGTACCTCAGCCAATTCTGGAAGCATCAAAACCTAAGCACGGTCATTGACCCATGCCATCCAAAAAACAAATTTTTAAAAAAATACATATATATTTTTTAAATTTTTAATTTTTTTTTTTTTTTAACCAGCAGTGTGTCTCCTTTTCTTTCATTTATTTTTGAGATGTGAGGCTGTCTTTGGGTTTTATATATACGGAAAAAAATAAGAGAAGAACAGGTGGGCCATTTAATGAATCCAAGTATCCATTTCTGACTAGGTGTGTCATTAAATGGTATTAAACAGAATGGCATTGAATGGCATTTTGGATCTTTGGATCTTGTTACAATGCCTGGCCTTTCATGGATGGTAAGGGTGTGAATCTGCACTTAATGATTTATTAGGGGTCCTGCTGGTTCAGTGAGCACCTTATTAGAGGCCAACTGAAACTGAAGGGGCTACCACTGAAGATTAACAGATCTTTGGATATCAACACATTTCTTTCTGTCACTTCTAATTCTCCTCGAGGCCAGTTCTAGAATTGCCAGCATCTATGGGAGCTGACAACAGTAGACTCGCCAGGCCCACCTTGGACTGGAGTCAGAACCTGCATTTTAACAAGATCCCAGGGGATTAGCATGCACATCAAAGTTTTTAAGTCACTACTCTTGAACTGTTCTAATCATTATTCAGGAATATCTATCTGAAAAAATTTTTTTTTTTTTTTGAGAAAATGAGATTTAAGCTTTTGGTGAAAATGGCTCATAAGTTTTATAAAACTTTCTAGGGAGCTTCTATTCCCCAAAGATTAAGAATCAGTGCATTATTATGCCAAACAAAGACTCAACCTAAAGGCACAGGAGGAGCCATGTACCAGTGACCGGGCTATGGCGGCTGCTGAGGAGAAACAGCCCCCATGCATAAATCACAGGATTGCTCTGGCCCTTCATATCCACTGGAGAGCTGTACCTGCAAACAGCATCCAGTAACCACAGGGCATGGGGTGTGGGGAGTAGGAGGAGGAGAGAGATTAATCACCAGGCCATGCTAGGAAGCAATCTCTGCTTCCTCCCTCTTACCATAAGAGCAAGTCACAGTTCTAACGACTTACACTATGTGTATTACCATTTTTAAGAGACTTAAAACATACATATGTAAATAAAATCTATGTTTAAGCAATTTTGTACTTGAATTTAGAAGGATAGCCACCAAACTTAACTATGCCTACCATGGCGGGCGGGGAGGGGCATGAAAGAACAAATCTTTATTACTTCATACCACTTTTTTGGTATGTATTAACTTTATCACAAAAACTTTTAAAATAAAGAGAAAAATAAATACTGTATATCCGACATACCACCTTCCTAAGGAGAAGCTCTGAAAGTATCACTTTTGTATTAAAAAAAAAAATTCAATGACTCATCTCTCCCAACAATATTCTGTACAGACTTTTCAATAGGGCACTCAAGGTCATCATGACCTTCCCCCAAATTACTACTTTTCCTCCTGACCTTTACTCTTACGAAACTCAAGCACCAGGGGCGCCTGGGTGGCTCAGTTGTTAAGCGTCTGCCATCAGCTCAGGTCATGACCCCAGGGTCCTGGGATCGAGCCCCACATTGGGCTCCCTGCTCCGAGGGAAGCCTGCTTCTCCCTCTCCCACTCTCCCTGCTTGTGTTCCCTCTCTCGCTGTGTCTCTCTGTCAAATAAATTAATAAAATCTTAAAAAACGGGGCGCCTGGGTGGCTCAGTTGTTAAGCGTCTGCCTTCAGTTCAGGTCATGGTCCCGGGGTCCTGGGATCGAGCCCCGCGTCGGGCTCCCTGCTCGGCGGGAAGCCTGCTTCTCCCTCTCCCACTCCCCCTGCTTGTGTTCCCTCTCTCACTGTGTCTCTCTCTGTCAAATAAATAAAACCTTTAAAAAAAAAAATCTTAAAAAACAAAACAAAACAAAACACTCAACCACCAGGTACATCACACTGAGAAACAAAACCACTTTCCTGATCTACTGCTTTCCTGCATCTGGACCCCTCCCCACATACTCTAGCACTACCTAGCTTAAATAATGCACTCTCCTCCCTGAGGCTTTTATCAATCCCCTTTTTTGGAACTAATATCCCCCTCCCTGAGTCTGTTCCTCTCCTACACCTTGTGGTTTACTTCACACACTCTCCAATTCAACTGTAAATCTACTGCCTGCAGAAGCATTCTTACTGTCTATCCTCTCCAGTGTGTGCTGACACACGGTGAGGGCTCAGAAACAATAGTCTGAAGGATTCCCTTGGCCAGCATCCTTAGTTTCCATCAGCGAAACTCCTCCCACCTGCCTTTTCAATCTATCCCACTCCATGGGATCCTCCCGGCACAAGACAATGGCTAAGAGGATTGGCTTTGGAATTTCCCTTTTTTTTTTTTTTTTTAAGATTTATTTATTTGAGAGAGACAGAGTGCGTGTGGGGTGAAGGTCAGAAGGACAGGGAGATGGGAGAGAGTCTCAAGCAGACTCCACTTAAGCCCAGAGCCTGACCTGCCACTCGATCTCACGACCCTGAGATCATGACCTGGACTGAAATCAAGAGTCTGACACTCAACCGACTGAGCCACCCAGGCGCCCCTACTGATACTTGCGTTTTAAAAGTTCACGATACTACTAGAAATCCCCTAAATCAATTACTTTGCTTCTAGTTTCATCCTAATCTTTCTGCAAAACCTGAATGCTAAAAATAAGCCCCACCTTTTAATAAAAAAACCCTTCTTCTCTTCTGGACTCATTCCCAACACCCTTTCATTCAAAGGCAAACCAAAAACTCCTAAGGCTGGAGGCTGTCATCTCCCACCTGCTCCGTACACACCCTGCAGCTGCCACAAGGCCCCCTCTCCTGAAGCAACACACACTTCCACATCCTGCCGTCCTTACGAGGGTCCTCCAGACTCACCCTCTCTTCCAAGTCTTATTCAGCCTCAAGGCCCCGAGCCCAGGGCAGTCCTGAGAAGACTTCTTTCTCCCCGCTACAAGCCCCACAGGAAGTGTCCTCCTGCTCCCGGCTGCCGACGCAGGCACCAGGCACACTGCGTATTCGGCCGGGATGCTGTGCTCACTCCGCTCCAAACCCAGGCACTCGGCGACAAACCCTCCCTCCCGTGGGCTAGGACTAGATTTGTTCAAGGGACGCCCGATCTTCAAGTCATTTCCCCACCTTCTGAACTTCTCCAGCAAACTACCGCACCAACTTCTCGCAATTACCCAATGGGGCCAGCAGGCAGAGCGGGGGTGCCGGGGGCGAACCCGCGGGCAGGACGGGGGGCAGGGTGACCTGGGGCGCCCGTGCGGGCTGTGGGGGGGAGGGGGATTGCCTGAGGAGACCCGCGGGCAGGGCCGGGTGGCCTGGGGCGATCCCGCGGGCAGGGCGGGGGCTACCTGGGGAGAACCCGCGGGGTAATCTGCGGCGACCCTGCAGGCAGGGCGGGGGTACCGGAGGGGCCCACGGGTAAGGCGAAGGTACAACAGGGGCCCAGGGCAGGGCGGGGACTACCTGGGGCGACCCCGCGGGCAGGTCCGGGGGTACCTGAAAGGCCCCCGTGTGGGCGCGCCACGAAAGAGCCTCCTCCACGCCGCCGCCGCCGCCGGGTGTCCAGAGGTGATGCAACGCTCTGACAGCGCAGGGTAGAGAGGAAAAGGCAGGTCCACGCCGGCCAATCAGCGTGCGCCACCGCCCACCCATCAACAAGCCGGACGCCGATTGGTCGCGCGGGCTCCGGCCCCGCCTACCCTGACGGGCAAGGCGGTGCGCGCCCCCTCAGAACGCCTTCCTGGGGTGGCGGCGGTGGCTCGGTGCCCTCCGGGCCGTAGACCGTGGGTCGCGGGCGATGGCTGCTATTGTGTCCGCTGACTGCGCGTTTTACGCGGGTGTGCTCGTGCGTGTCACCTGGCTGCGCACAGCACACGTGCATTTCCCTACGCGCAAATGGGGCGATTGCACCGTGCGGCCCCGACCTGAGTGACCGTAGCAAGGTTCAGGGTCGCGGAGACCTGCGGCGGGGCACCGCGGGGTTGGTGAAGCCGCAAGGCCCGGGGGCTGAGACCGATGCGCGGACTGGGCCGGAGGTGCGCGCCAGTCCCCCCGAGCCGCCCGCCCGCGGAGCCCGTCCTCAGGGAAGGGCGGCGGCGCTGGAGGTCGGTGGGCCCCGCAGCCCCTCCGGAGCTCCCCTGCATCCTCCTGCACAAGCTTTGGTCAAGGGCCACGTGCAGACACGTAACAGAACGGAAGAGAACAAAATGACCAAATTTAGTTATCACTGTTTAACATTTCCTGTGATGAAAGCAAAGTTTATTTGCTTTTTTATCCATCTGCTCGCTTACAATTTATTATCTCTGCTGTGGGTCTGCCTTCCGGATCCGCTGGTTAAAAACCAAGGGGAAGGGCGCCTGGGTGGCTCAGTTGGTTAAGCGACTGCCTTCGGCTCAGGTCATGATCCTGGAGTCCCTGGATCGAGTCCCGCATCGGGCTCCCTGCTCGGCAGGGAGTCTGCTTCTCCCTCTGACCCTCCTCCCTCTCATGCTCTCTGTCTCTCATTCTCTCTGTCTCAGATAAATAAATAAAATCTAAAAAAAAAAAAAAAAAAACCACAGGGAAGTTGGAGCCACGCAAAGGGCAGCGGACCTCGGGCTTTGGCACCAGAGACTGAAGGAAAGTTTAGGCCTTCAAAGTGCAGAGTAACTCTGTCGCAGCTTACTGCATCCGTTAGAGGGACAGAAAATTACGAGAGTCTGTAGAAGGCACAGCACGTTTAAGAACACTTCTGAGAGTTTGTGCATGCATTCATTCAACAGTCACTTACAGTCCAGGATGAGAGGCAGGGGGTCTCACTACCTTGATGAAATGAGAAACTCTAGGTAGGAACATTTATTTACTAGAGGTGTTTCTTCAGCTTACTAACTAGAAGTACTCCACTTTGTGCAGTTCATTTTTACCATCTGTCCAGACAGCCAGATTAAAGCAGGATAGAAGGCTCCCAGATAGATGTGTCCAGGAAAAAAGGTGGGGACAACAGATCTGATCATTTAAAACATTGAGAAACATTTTATGGTACTGAGAAACATTTTATGGTACTGTTGAAAGATATAAATCCATAAAGAGGTTGAGCAAGTGGAAAAAAGATTCTAGAAAAAAAGTTTTATGTCAAAATCCACAACTTGGATCAGAGTTGACTCCTCACTTGTTAGAGTAGGAGACAAAAGGTAATGTCTAAAACTGAAAAACCAAGAAGACGCCTCGGTGGCACCGTTGGTTAAGTGACTGACTTGGTTTCAGCTCTGGTCTTGATCTCTGGTAATGAATTAGAGCCCTGCATCCAGCTCTGTGCTCAGCATACAGTCTGCTTCAGATTCTCTCTCTCTCTCCACCCTCCCCCACTCGTGCTTGCACAAGGGCACGCAGTCTCTAATAAATCTTAAAAAAAAAGAAAAACCAAGAAATCACAGCATAAGCATGTCAGGTAATGGAGAGAAGCATCAGAGAACACAAAATTGTTGAAGATGGTTGTATCTGGGGAGCAGGAATTAGGGGTGGGCAAGGATACTTGATGTCACTTGTCTGTTTTGAAGATGGCGGGTGTGACAGATTTAAATATGGCCAAATTCCTTGACACTTCTCCCACTGAGAGGTGATGGTCTGTGTCCCCTTCTGTTCAGTTCTGGCTGGGCTCTGTCTGTTGTGACCTGTAGAATATAGTGAAAAGAGACTGGCAGCTTCTGCTTCTGACACCTAGTCGCCATGCTGGGAGGAAACGCAGGGACAGGCACTGAGTGAACGAGCCATCTTAGAAGTGGATCCTCCAGCCCCAGTTGAGCCATTTCGGTGACACTACAGGGAAGAGGAATGAGGGGTGCCAACGGAGTCCTGACCGAATTGCTTATTTGTGAGCAAAATTATTTTACTGGGACGACCTGTTATGCGGCAGTAGGAATGTATAAATGTAATCTGCATCAAGAGATGGTGGAACATTTGGATTATTTATCCTGCCGAGTGGTGGTTTTTCTGTTTTCCATCAAGTCTTGGAAACAGGAATCCCAAAAGACTCTTCAGCTGCTTACTTCTTTGGACTTATTTCAAAACAACCCTCAGTTTGTTCCCTGTATTTAAGAGTCTTTTATGGTTGGCCTCCCTTTCTGTCTTTATCTTATTTAGTTGCTGGAGGGGAGGTCGGGGGATGGGGTAACTGGGTGATGGGCATGAAAAAGGGCACTGGATGTAATGAGCACTGGGTGTTAGAGGGACCTGATGAATCAATAAAGTCTACCCCTTAAAGTAATACTACACTACATGTGAACTTGAATTTAAATAAAATCTTGAAAGAAAAAAAAAATGTACCGAGCAACCACTATGTGCTAGACACGGTTCTAGGCAGTTGGGACACAATGGTCAATAAACCAGATGACATCCCAGCCCTCTAGAGTTTATATTCGGTCAAGATATAAATTAATAAATACTTTAATTCCAGATATACACATTGTGGCTCAGGGACCATCCCTGGGGGCTGTCTATATAACACAACTCTGAACAGCGTGCAGTTTGACAGGCATACCTGTCTTGAATCCTAACCAGTTTGATTTAAGGAAATATTAAATCTGCCTCCCTCTTTGGACTCAAGAGTCCTGACCGCTAACTTGGATTTTTCATAAGCCTCTGGTTAAACCAGAGTTTTGGGATTAATGGGCTCGCCTCCCATCAATTCCTGGAGGCCAAGAACAGGAAAACTCTACTTGGCATCCTTCCCTGGTCCTCACAGAACTCTTCTATGATGCTTGTCTGAAGTGTCTTGCATTTCAGTTAGTTGTTCATCAGGACAGAAGTACAGAACTGAGGTTGATCTGTATTCAACTTTTTTTTTTTTTTTTAAAGGTTTTATTTATTTGACAGAGAGAGACACAGCGAGAGA